GAGAGAGAGAGAGAGAGAGAGAGAGAGAGAGAGAGAGGCAGAAATATATAGTGAGAATGCATTATGTTGCAGGGATGGTAGGTTTCACCATGTATTGTTGGTCATTTGAATTATTGGTCTATTCATTATATTTTTATATAATGACAGCCCATACCATACATGGTAGATTAAAGAAAAACAAAAAGATGAAATTGACCTGTCTATTGTCCAATTGTTCTCCTGATAAAAGGCTCACCCTGTCACCAAGCTGTATGTCACTGTCCATCATCCCTTCATTCAGCTGAACCTCAATGTCTCTGAGGAGGACGCAGTTTGTCTCAATGAGGTTGTCCAGCGCTCGAACTGCAGCCGTCTCCTCCATCTCCAGCAGGGACAGAGTGATCCTACAGTCCTCCTCCAGAACTCTCCGCATCTCTTCATACTTCTTCACTATACTTTCTCTCATTGCAAAGGACTTTGACTAAGGAAGATGGGCAAATGGTTAGACTCAATTGGGTAATCCAGTAAAATATAGATTAATTGTATTTAATTTTCATTTAAGTCCATTTTTTATCGCTTTTGAAAGAAGTCTCTTATGCTCTTTTATGTTTTATATTTTAATATACTAAAAGTATACTGATGTATACACTAAAACTATAATTATATACTAAAAATATACAGATTTTGTGCTTAGTTTTTGTTGCTTAATGTTTGAGTAAAAACCATGGTACATTTTTTTTCTGGATTCTTTAATAAAAGAACAGCATTTACAGTATTTAAAACAGAATTTGTAACATTACAAAAAATTGTAACATCATAAATATATTTACAGTCACTTTTGATCAATATAATGCATACTTGCTGAATAAAAGAACTCATTTCTTTCTTTTTTCTTTGTTTCCTTTCTTTCCTAAATACAATACAATACAATACAATAAAAATAAAACTCCTTACTGACCCCAAACTTTTCTACAGTAGTGTAAATACAGGGCTTAAAATAGCCATATACTTACTGTATATAATTATCTTAAATAAAACAAATTTGTAAATAATATACTTTAAAAAAGATTTATTTTCAAGACGTTTTCACTCAGAAATTGCAAGTAAATTTCACAAACAATTACACAGAAACGACAATGAACACATCAAATTAAATTTGAAATATTGATGTAGAAAGACTGAAATAGCATTTTATTGTAAAACCTACTCCAATAATCTTAAATAAAATTTACAGAGTAGGCTACATAAGATCAAGATAATATTGGAATGTGTTTTTGTGATATATTTAAAGAACCGCTTGATTTAATTTTACACACTAGACTCACATTGATTTCATTTTACTTGCCATTCAGTTTCTTCAGTCTGCATCTGATCGCTTCCCTTTGCCTCATGAGATGATCCTGGTAATTTTTTTGCATGTCCTGTTGAAAAAAAAAAAACATGCATGAGAATTCAGGCAAACTTTGACATTTTTAGGATTAGAAATAAAAGTGAATAAAACTTACCTGACACTGAGCTTTCATGTCACTTTGCTGGACTGAGTTGTTAGACTGAGAGACAGTCCTTATGTTACTTTCACAAATCCTTAGGGGGTAATTTGCAACTCTGTAGATGTTCCAGCAAGCGAGATTTTAAGGAGCTCATGCTTCACTAATAGTGAAAGTAGATCACATGGGTGGGCCACAGTGGCACGATCCTGCCAGAGATAAATGGCATTCACCTTGACTTGTCGCTGTGACGCATCTGTCACTGCAGCGCTGCTCGCCACCTGTGACAGGACACTCACATACCGCTTCCTCTCCAGGCCATTTCTAGAGGTGGTATTTAAAGAAGTGGATAGTGAGACATTGTCCCATGTGGATTCATAACAATCAGGCTCTGTAATACAGCCTGTGTATACTTTCTACACTGTGGCTATTAATGTTACTCACAGTGAAACAAAGTACAAGTGGATTCTGGGAAATGCAGGAATGAGAAGGTCAGTTACAGCCTTCATGCAGTAGCACGCAGGAAGGCCTACGATTCAGAACAGTGAGAAGAAGAGAACAGAATGAGTGAACAGAAGAATAAAAAAGTTAAACTGAACACAAATAGTAAAAAAAATCTTCATCTTTAAGCTCCTGATCACAGATGAATCCACAAGATGGCAGCAGAGCTTGCACATAGCTGGACATCTTGCCAGAATCAGACCATTCCTTTACAAGATTTATGACAGAAAATGATTTATGACAGATGATGATAATGCTAAAGTTGATGTTGATAAAGATGAAGATCATAATACTGACAACCCATGATACATAAAACCATCCCTGCAACAGTAACAGTTTGTATTGTACAATATTTTGCATTCCTTAATTTATACATTAGTATTTAGCACAAATACAATAAAAGATGTAAAAATAGATAAGAAAATAAATTAATAGTTTGTAAAATAGTTTGCATTAATTTTTCAATTCTATCATAAGTTTGTACAATGATATTTTGTACAAATACATTTAGAAAATATGTACAAAATAACTAAAATAAATTGTACAATAATATATTGTAAATACATTTTGAAAATATATTAAAAATAGGAAAATTAATAAATAAATCCATAGTAATAAATGCATAGTACAGTTTGCTTTCCTTTCTAGTAGTACCATTAGTTTGTACAATAGTATATTGTAAAAAAAAAAAAAGTAAATAACAAAAATGTTTGTGCAATAATAACATCAGTTTGTATACAACAGTATACATTTAGATGAAATGTAAAAAAAATAAATAAACAAACAATCAAATAAATAAAAAGTTTGTGCAATAGGTTGTATTATTTCATTAATAGTTTCATTAGTTTATACAAAAGTATTTTGCACAAATACATTTTTAAAAATTGATTAAATAAATAAAATTTATAATACAATTATCAGAAATTTTTTGTAAATGTAAATAAATTACATTTTTTAATAAATTTTTTTCCTTTTGGATATATTGCTCTTTTGCACCATTTTAGAAACTTGAGCCAAAGTTATATCTCATTTTATATTAATGCTCTATAGATGTTATCCACTGCTCAGGTTTTCCTTGGTCTAAAAGTGTGTGGACAGACATTTAACAACAACATTGTAGTATGTCTGGCAGTCTAAAAACACATATTGCATAAAAATACAAGCACAAATAAAGTATGATCTGACTTGTTTTCCTTTGTCCTTGCCTTGCTCCTTGTGTAACAATAAAGCACAGCCAGCTTTACGTGTGCTCTAATAAATGCAGGCCTGAGCACATTACTGGACTCAGAGGTGGACTGGGATTCGGGAAGACCACTGTGATCCATAATCCACCTTTCATCAGAATTTCCTGTGGAAATAAAGTTCCTTAATTTCTCCAATCTCCACCATTAGACAGCAAAACCTTGACCCCACCGTTACCTCCCCTCTGGTCCTTCTTTAAACCACTGTCTATTAGGCAGCTCAAATTAAATCCCTGCTATTGGACTTTAATAAGAGAATATTTGCTCCTGTATTTTAACCGTGTTATCCAATATCCTGTTCCATATTCCTCTGAGTATATGCTATGGGCTGCTTTAATACAAAAAGGGTGGTTGACTAGCGGCCCACATGAAGAAAGAGGGTTTTGAAAAACTTTTCATTTTTTTATATTTAAAACATAAATGGGTCATTAATTAGGCAATAAAAACAAATCCATATAAATGAATAAAGAATGGTGATTTCTATGACCAATTTTACTTCCAAGTTTTAAGTAAACATGCAAAAATAAACATTCACAGCCCATGATAAACTCGTGAATTGTTAACATTCAAAAATGTTGTACACATTTGTACATCTGTGAATTGTGTTTTGCATTTGTGAAACGTATTTTTATGAATGTATATTCTTATTTTGTGCATGTGAATTGGTTTTTGTGAATATATATATTTTTTTTGTGCACGTGAAATATTTCTTATGCATGTGAATTGGGTTACGCATGTGTGCATCGCGTCTTTTGCGTGAATTATTATTGAGATCATTCTGGCTCCATAATTTCCGCATAGTCATACCATTCAAACTATCATCCTGTGATGTAGTTATCACAACTCATGTTGAAAAGTATGAACTATTCTAATTTTTAACAATTTGAGCATTTAAAAAGTCAGCCTTGGTGACCAGACATGGAATGTTATATGTTCGTTTATCTGTAAACTGTACCTGTGAACATCAACACAAGTGTGTGTGTTGCACTTGACACCTGTTTATGTTTGGCAGAGGACAGTTCATTAAATATGTACAGAGTGTGTAGTTGTACTGGGTGAGGTTAAGTGCTTTGTAAACCTCGTAGGATTGTATCAATAAAGAAGGTCCTTACCAGCTGTAACCACATATTCTAAAAGTGTCACATCAACATTTGAAGCCTGGCTGAAACTAATTGCTATCAAGTTTAGGACAATTAGACTGTAAAGTCAAAACAAGAGGTTCTAAAAGGTAGCACGTGTCTTTGCTTTTTCAACAAAATGCGGTTTAACAGCGTTAACAACAGTAATCCAAATTTTGAACCCGCCAAGTAGGCGCTGGCAAAATGGGGAACAGTACGACGCTTCAACGCTTTCGTTGAAAACTCGACGGTAGCTCTCCAAAACGTAAGTATACTTTATGTTAGATTTCACTTTACTTAACAAATACAACACAAAACATTTTAAAGACATTTTTTGGCATAGTTAGGCGACCCTTTTAGCCGTCCGACAGAACCTCAACCTAAACAGTACTGACCGAAAAAGTAAACCCTCTTAAAGTCATTTAATAATTGTTAAGTGTGTTAATTTTTGTCTTTTTAGACATGAAATCCAACATACGTATTCTTTATAGTTGAGATTTATTGTGGTCAACGCCGTCGTTGTTGAGCAGCTGAGCTCAACCTGGCAACATATGAGAAACGCGGTGCTAATCGCGGATAGGAAACTCTTTCCGTGTTAAATGATTTGCGATTTATTATCCAGCAGCCCTTCCTGTTTAGTTTAGGCAGCAACATAAATAACAGAACAAAGGATGCCCATACAGGCCTGAATGAAAACAGCGCCAGCCGGGCACTGCATGCATCCGCACTCGTCTTACAGCCTCTCGATTATATTACCTTCTCACTTACTGTACTTCCCCAGAGCCGGGAAAAGCTATCCGCTGTATCTGCATCTCTAATGGCTGCTGCCTTTTGGGGAGTTTTCAAACAGAAGGAACCGGCAGACAAGCTGCAATCGCTTAGCTAAATGCGGAGAGCAATCTTGAAACAGAAAACTGGAGCAGGACTAGGGGGTTGCTGGATGGGCTGAAATGTTATTTGGATGATACCCGTGCATTAAAGCAAGGGGAAGCTGTGTTGAGTTTCTCATTGAGAGGCAGCAGCAGGGCTCACTGCGATAAGGAAATAAGGCTAATGTTACCTGATCTGGTATAATGTGAACCAATTACTACTCCATTGCACTTCATTACAGAACAGTAATAGGGCCAGGGTGAGCCACGCTATATGAGCAGCCGGGGGAAAATTGAGTGGTCATTGATAATATGATAAAAAGTGACAGAGAGAGAGGCCTCTCAAACAAATTATTGAAATTTACAGTGAGTGGGAGAAACAGAATAACCTCATTTAGGCAGCCGTGGGCCAGCACTTGTCCAAAGTAGCACACTCGACACAAAGGACTGCTTATGGAGAGAAATCTAAAACGATCAAAGAATAGTTTTAGGCCCTGAACTCTACAGACCTGCTCAGGACTTCGAAATTATTCAGGCGGCCTTACTTCCTAAATTTCTAATACAGAAGGGAATTTGGTGTTCTGTGCAACACTTTTTTTTATAGTGTTTCAGCTGTTATTCAAGCTGTCGTTTGCATTATCTATTTATCTATCTATCTATCATCTATCTATC